GGTCTCTAGCTTCAGTCGTCTCTAGCTTCAGTGGTCTCTAGCTTCAGTGGTCTCTAGCTTCAGTGGTCTCTAGCTTCAGTGGTCTCTAGCTTCAGTGGTATCTAGCTTCAGTGGTCTCTAGCTTCAGTGGTCTCTAGCTCCGGTGGTCTCTAGCTTCATTGGTCTCTAGCTTCAGTGGTCCCTAGCTTCAGTGGTATCTAGCTTCAGTGATATCTAGCTTCAGTGTTTCAGTGGCCTCTAGCTTCAGTGGTCTCTAGCTTCAGTGGTCCCTAGCTTCAGTAATATCTAGCTTCAGTGGTCTCTAGCTTCAGTGGTCTCTCGCTTCAGTGGTATCTAGCTTCAGTGGTATCTAGCTTCAGTGGTCTCTAGCTTCAGTGGTCTCTAGCTTCAGTGGTCTCTAGCTTCAGTGGTCTCTAGCTTCAGTGGTATCTAGCTTCAGTGGTATCTAGCTTCAGTGGTCTCTAGCTTCAGTGGTCTCTAGCTCGGGTAATCTCTAGCTTCAGTGGTATCTAGTTTCAGTGGTCTCTAGCTTCAGTGGTATCTAGCTTCAGTGGTATCTAGCTTCAGTGGTATCTAGCTTCAGTGGTCTCTAGCTTCAGTGGTATCTAGCTTCAGTGGTATCTAGCTTCAGTGGTCTCTAGCTTCAGTGGTCTCTAGCTTCAGTGGTCTCTAGCTTCAGTGGTATCTAGCTTCAGTGGTCTCTAGCTTCAGTGGTCTCTAGCTTCTGTGGTCTCTAGCTTCAGTGGTATCTAGCTTCAGTGGTCTCTAGCTTCAGTGGTCTCTAGCTCGGGTGGTCTCTAGCTTAAGTGGTCTCTAGCTTCAGTGGTATATAGCTTCAGTGGTATCTAGCTTCAGTGGTCTCTAGCTTAAGTGTTATCTAGCTTCAGTGGTATCTAGCTTCAGTGGTCTTCACCTCCAGTTGTCTCTAGCTCCAGTGGTCTCTCGTTCCAGTGACTCTAGCTCCAGTGGTCTGATGGAATTATAATGCGTTCACGGTCGCAGCTTAGCTAGGAGAGTGGGGCGATGACGTAGCTAGGAGAGGTGAGTTATGGCTTAGCTAGGAGAGGGGAATGATGACGTAGCTAGGAGGGGTGAGTGGTGGCTAGCTAGGAGAGGGGAATGATGACGTAGCTAGGAGAGGTGAGTGGTGGCTTAGCTAGGAGAGGGGAATGATGACGTAGCTAGGAGAGGGGAATGATGACGTAGCTAGGAGAGGTGAGTGGTGGCTTAGCTAGGAGAGGGGAATGATGACGTAGCTAGGAGAGGGAAATGATGACGTAGCTAGGTGTGCCACAGGGCTCAGTTTTAGGACCTATTCTGTTCTCCATGTACACTAGCCAGCAAAATATTTGCAGATGACACAGAGCTATACAAGTGTTTCCGCACTGTTCCCTTGGAGTGTGCTACTGCTGTTCAGGCTGCCGAGGACTGCTGTCTTGCTGTAAAAGATTGGATGTCATCAAACAGACTAAAATTAAATGATGATAAGACTGAGGAAATTATTTGTGGTTCAGACGCCAATCTTCGGAAAGTTACCATTGCAACAATAAAAGTTGGTAAATCAGAGATCCTGTTGTCCTCGACTGTCAGAGACCTCGCCTTTTATATTTACAGTAAACTTAGTATGATTCCCCATATCAGTTCTGTTGTCAAGACATGCTTCTGTCATCTGCGTGCTTCTGTCACCTGGGTCAGCTGCGTCCTCAACTCAATAGGAGAACAGCCAATGCTGTAGCAGTAACTCTAATCCATTCAAGATTAGATTACTGTAATAGTTGTTTGTGGGGTTTACCTCAGAACCAAATTCAGAGCCTCCAAAAGATACAAAATACTGCAGCACGCATGGTATCGCGGATGAAAAAATCTGACCACATCACCCCATTTCTACGAGATCTCCATTTGGTTCCTGTGAGTGAGCGCATTAACTACAAAATTCTGTCCCTGGCGTACAGCTGCAGAGATGGCTCAGCACCGGAATATCTCAAGGAACTGATTTATAAACATGTATCCGTGAAGAGCCTGCCGTCTTCAACACAGTACTTACTGAGTGTTCCTAGTGTGGATAAACACATAAAAAAGTCGTACGGAGTGCGCTCTTTTGAAGCGATAGCGCCAAAATTATGGAACAGTTTGCCTCAATCTTTGAGGGGAATTGTAAATGATAAAAAAATCACATAAGAAACAATTTAAAACTTTTTTGTTAAAATAGATTTCGGAGGGCCAGAGCGCAGTGAGCATGCTAAAATGGCATGGATACCGGCGCGATATAAATATCAAATCAATCAATCAATGATGACGTCGCTAGGAGTGGGGAATGATGACGTAGCTAGGAGGGGGGAATAATGATGTAGCTAGGAGGGGGGAATAATGATGTAGCTAGGAGAGGGGAATGATGACGTAGCTATGAGAGTGAGTGGTGGCTTAGCTAGGAGAGGGGAATGATGACGTAGCTAGGAGAGGGGAATGATGACGTAGCTAGGAGAGGTGAGTGGTGGCTTAGCTAGGAGAGGGGAATGAAACTGCTGAGGCAATTTTTTTCCCAGGAGAGGGGCTTTTTAATAACTTGTCTCCATCATAATTCTAACAACTTGAAAACAACTGCCAGCCAATTATTCAAATTTTGTTCACCTTGATTTGAAAGGTCTTAAATAATTATTCGAAGTGTAAGAATATTTTCTAATTGTATTTTTTACTAATACTATAGTATTACCCGCTACAAATGATGGCAGTTTTCATAAATGTTTTAGATATTAGCCAATCAAAACTATAAAAAAATCTCTACGAACAAAGAATTAACTCTATCCACTTTAAATGTGGAATGTTTTCATAAATTAAATATTTCTATTTTAAATAATCATCAAAATTCCCAAGTCAACAATCTTAAAAAAAAAAAGAAAAAAAGATATTTTAATGAATTTCACAAGAGACAGAATTCTGTGTTTATAAAATGAACCATGTTCCGAACTTTCACTCTCTCGCTATTTAGTGTAAAAGAACTCTTTTCAGTGTTAAATAAATGCATATCCTGATAATACATCACTGTTTCAATCGTTGTCTCTCTTATCGTCTGTCCCAGCTAGGGCCAGCTATCGTTTATCCCAGCTAGGGCCAGATTTAGCTGACCAGAGGTCCCAGGCAAACACACCGGTCCCTCTCCCTGCTCTTTTGCATCAAATGCTTTTTGTTTTTAAAATCTTCCAGTTAACTGTAAGAGGTTGCACAAGCACACAATTATAGTCCTGATTTATTGACAGTTTTGCGGACTTGAAATTAAACGTAACTCGTTAGGCCAAAAGTTTTATCATGAACACTAATCCCAAGTCTTCTATTTTCTGAAAAAGATCATTGGCTTGAAGGCTGGGAGCAGAGTATAGGCCTAAATGATTGAGGGCATCAGCGATGGCACTGTAGAACCTATATCTAAAATAGCTCCTGTAACTTTTCAATGTGCATGCTAGATAGTTCGTGACAAATATTTAGGCAATTGTAAAAGAAGTTGCAAACATTATTTTAAAACTGTCCATCTTTTTGTGGAGAATGAATATAAGTTATAACTGTCATGGCCAATTCCAAAACAGGTTGCTGCATGAAGACAGCAATCAACAGCTGAAATGCATTTTCAATTGAATGAATGTTCATGGCACGGAGTAAATTTTGCTAATTTTTTTGCTGCATATCATTATATCTACTTGTCATTTTGGCGGCATTTTGTATTTCTGTATTTTTTTAAGTTAATCTCAAGCTTTTTAGTGAAATAATTCAACACTGAAACGACCATTCTTTCTCACATGGGTATTTTCGTTAAAAAGTTCCTTTAATACTTATTTCATTTTTAAGTACCCCTTGACTATTAAAAGGCCCCTCGCGGCCTTTAGATTTTTGTTATCCAGCTATTCAATAAAATGAAAATTACCTTATATTTTTTTCCCAAATCACAACTGTGTTCCCCTTTAAATATCCAAGACGAAACCCCCCCCCCCCCTTCCCGGGCAAAAATATTTTTTTTTATATAATGCATAAACCAGATTCATAGTTGTTTTTTGTTTTTTTTAAATTTAAAAAAAGTAGATCATTCCTGTTAAATCAAGAAAATTGTCATTTATATTGCTACATTAATGCAAAGTCTGTCACACAGCAGACCAGGCAGATGGTGGTTCTCCTTTTAAAGACCAATTCCTTTTAAAGAAACAATAATAATATGACACATAAGTAACACTATTGACTTGTAAATACTTTTAGGATTTTAATTTTTCACCACCATTCAGTCTTTGCATCATCAGTCATTCTTTTCATCATCAGTCATTCTTTGCATCACCAGTCATTCTTTGCATCATCAGTCATTCTTTTCATCATCAGTCATTCTTTTCATCATCAGTCATTCTTTGCCTCACCAGTCAGTCTTTGCATCATCAGTCATTCTTTTCATCATGAGTCATTCTTTTCATCATCAGTCATTCTTTTCATCATCAGTCATTCTTTTCATCATCAGTCATTCTTTGCCTCACCAGTCAGTCTTTGCATCACCAGTCATTCTTTGCATCATCAGTCATTCTTTGCATCATTAGTCATTCTTTGCATCACCAGTCATTCTTTGCATCACCAGTCATTCTTTGCATCACCAGTCATTCTTTAAGTCAGTGATTACTTACACTTTGTCAGTGATAACTACACTTTGTCCAATTAGTGGATACAAATGCCAACAATTGCAACAACTGAATACCATAGTGTTGGAGTTGAAAAATGTAATAGTTTTATAGTGTAGTAGCAATTATTTTCATGAGCAAGTTTAATTTGTCATTATTAATTTTATTTTGGAATAAACAATCCTGTAAAGGTTATTAAAATCAGTAATGCTTGAAATTCTCAACAAAAAGATAAAATTATACCCGTCTTAACAAAATAAAACTAAATTCCTAGTAATGAAACCTTGATAAATTTATTGAAAGATACAGTGGTATTAGTGATAATTAACAGTCCTCATAAAGTTAATATGATTTTCAAGTTAATGTTATATTATCTTTTTTTTTTAGTGAATCTTAAATATACATTTTTTCAAAGTCAAGTTTTCGGAGTTCAAAGAAAACCCCAAAAAACGTGAAAAAATGAAGTGAGAGGGAATACAATTTTAAATGTACATTTAATTTAAGCTTTTATCATTCTTTAAATTTTAAGCAATCTCAGTCAAGATTTTCAATATTTATAGTTTAAAGCCATTTTTGGTCCACTACAACAAAAAAATTATTAAGAAGATTCTATAATTATGATTAAGCATCAATAAATGTATTAAACATTAAGGATTATTACAGAAAAATTATTCACTAAGTGACAGATCAGCAGGCTTTGAGAAAAAAAAAATGAATGCTATCTGATACTATATAGTATATTTTTGATAAACCTGTTGGTCAGTTGATAAATTATGTCATCTTCATTGCATGGCTTGCATATATCTATGTGATTATGAGGGACACTGACAAAGTTTCCAATTCCAGGATCTGAAAGTAAAAGAATAACTTTGAGACATAAATTTGACAATTAATTACCTAAAAAAATATAAAATAAAATCATTCATGCCAAGTGATATGATTTATCTATACTTTGCACATGGTTTTTAGATTTTCAAATCAAATTTTCTTTACTCCTTAACTTCAAATAATTTTAACAGAAATGATAATTTTTCATTTGCAATTTAACCAATTTTGAAAACAACTGATTTAATTATATAATTCGTTTACTGCTTAAAGTTTTATGCAGGAAAATCCATTGAGATGGTGGGGAACAAAAGACTTACCACTAGAATTCAAAGGTACTACCAAAACTTTGGGAAGTGGGCGACTAAATGGAGTTTTGGCATTCTCCCCAAAACTTAGGCAAGGAATAGAATTCTTGCTCATGAACTTGACAAATGTTTCATGCAATGCAGCTAATTTTGGAGAACCTGAAAGCAATAATTCCTAGCGACTAAAAAAAAGTAGAGTTTCATGATCTGTAGCAAAATGTGGGTCACTGCGATTTAATGACTGAATGAGTGTAAACAAAACAAAAATGTTCTCTCAAATATGCATGAATCATTTTTAACATTCCATGAAACTCTAGTATTGAAATCAAATGAACCATTGAAAAATATTAATTGTAAATACTGCATGTGTTATATTTTTGTATCAGTTTAGAAAATGAAAACCCAACTTGTACCAGCTGTGACTCATTTTTTTAAATACATCAAACTATTTTTAAATTCTTGAAGCATTCCTCATTGAGAAACAAGAATTGTCATTAAGGCACTTAAAAACTTATTAAATGCACAAAGGTTGTTTACAAACTCACTGGTGTGTAATTCTTGTACTTCTACAGATGGAAAAAGCAGGTATTTTGCATACATCATTACATCCACCACAGAGGAGCCATGATGTGGTACACTAAAGAAAAGCACACCTCTTGTCTGACTAGAGAATTTTGAGTACTGACTTTCATTTTCTCCAAGAGATATAATGTTCTTGATTATCAGTCCTTATGAGAAAAAGGTCAAGAAATCATAAAGATTAAATAATCAATTAGTCAATTAAGATAATGCAATAACATTTCTTGGCTCAATGGGGGTTGTCACCAACAGTGAGTAAGCTATTGTTAAAATGGGGACTTGGTTTCTCATGGTTTTTTTCTAACTTTATCCTGTTATAGGCTAATTTATTTTAAAACAAAAAAAATGAGATTAGAATGACACTTAAAAATTAATAGTTTTTGTAGGTGCCTCAATTCATTTGAAACATCTTTTTAAAAAGTAACTTCAAATTTATAACAAAACATTTTTTCAACTTGTGCAAAAAAGCAAACTTTTACTTAACATGTCATTTTAAAAAATAGAAACTGGAGACCTCTTCTACATTTATTGATATTATTTAAACTTTGGATAAACTCATTTTTCCATTATAAGATAAGATAAGATTCTTTCATTGATCCAAAGAAATAGAAATGTTTTTCATTATATATTGTACACATTCATTTTCCACACATTAGAAATACATATTTTAACCATGACAACATTTTACAGTTACAATAATTTTTAAAAAAAGACATCAAAAGAATTTCTCTAACATGAAAATCAGCCATCAATGAACTCCATTAGGTATTATATGTCTTTCATTGCTCTATTCTGTAATTCGTTATTGTGAGATCTGCCACTGGAAGATTCCCCCTCTGGAAATCGACAAACATTTCTTATGTTTTTGAGACATTCAACTGAAGAAAATTTTCATCACACCTACTGATATAGCTTCTAACTTAGATGTGGTATATGCTTTCTCCTTCAGATATTAAGCCAATGATGGCGGTATTCTCATAACATTAGTATATACTGTATACAGTTCAGGGGAGAGAACGCAACCTTTTAGCTCCCCTGTACTAATTTCTCTATAAAAGAATCACATATAAATCTTTAATTCGTATACATCTTTAATAATTAAGAATGTTAAAAATTACCTCCCATAGAATGCCCAATCCATATTATTGGTCTGGATCCTACACCAGCCAGCTGTAGTTTTTTCATTAACTCTTTACTTCTTCCTTCAATTGTTCGTCTTTGATGGACAGAGTAAAAAAAGACATAAAGTAGCCACCTGCACACAACTACCTAATCACAATAACAATTTACTTGCTCCAGATGAGCAATAACCTACATCTCATCATGTTTACAGTAGATCTAGAATTTGATAAAATTGTTAAAATCATGTGCCCTGACAAATTTATTAACTATGATAATTCAAACATTTAAAATTAGTCAATTGTATTATTTGTCACAACAAATTGAGAAAAAATTATTTTTATATTTACCAAAACTATTTTTTTAATGGTTCTTTATGAAGTTAGTAGAAATTATGTTAAAACCACTATAAAAGTTAGAGATTCTTACTTGTCCTGCTCATAGGGACAGTGGTCCCCCCATTTGTGAAGTTCTGAGTTGTAGCCAATGCTAACAACACGGATATTTGGAAAATCTGTTGCAAGCCAGTCCTTTGAACACAAAAGGAAGAAAAAAGCCATAAATTTGTGTTTCGATCATTTGAAAAAAATAAGGAATTAGTAAAAGAGTTTCACACTGTCAGTTGAAAATTATTATTTAAAAACTTGAAAAAATATTTTTTTAACTCCCACAAAATTCATAAAAAAATTAATCCAAAAGGAACACACGCCTTCTTTGCTGTAAAGAACACCACCCATTAGATTAATCAACTTCCTTCGCTAAACCAACTACATTTATTATTGATTTGAAGTAGTTGAACATTTGCTAATTAGCACCAGAAAAATGATTTTTAACCATAAATCACCATGACTAAGGCATACCATTTACTTGGAGAGATTAACAGAAAAATCATGTTTTTTCTCACAATTATAATAAAGCTATGTCATTATTTACCCTTGGCCAGCACACTGATCCAAAGGGATCAATCCCATCTCTCTGTCGCCAGGTTTTGACCGCACCACCTCTCAGACCATGGACAAGTACAATATCGGCATGCACTGGTTGGCTGAGTGAGAGATTGAATGATATAACAGTAATAGTACTTTAATCATTTAAGCATGCATTCATAACCTTCTTCAGACCTTGTAGTTAATATGCAATGTTTTAAAAAAAAAGTATTTTTAGGCTGCTTCTTGCAGAAATTTAAAAAGTAGAGATTAATTATTCTTTTGCTGAAACTATATCAACAGGATTAAGCTGATTTAACATGCTCTAGCTCAGAGCTCCAAAACCGGTGTGCCACAGCAGAATGATGCGCCATGAGATAAAGATAGGTGTGCCGCTGGAAAATAGCTTTCAGGGGAGTAAAAGCCCAGAATAACAATGGGCACGTAATTATGATAATATCATGTTGGTTAAAGGGAAAAAGGATCAATTATTACCAAAATGTCAAACTTGTACAGTCCCATATCTCAGAAAATGAGGACCGATGAATTTGTATGATATCAGTTCACTATCTAAAATGAAAACCTCAACACTAAGACGGAATGACAAAAACTTTCAGCTGATTTATTGTCTGTTTTAGTATGGGGAGCAAGTTACCATGTTGCAAAAGTTACAAATGCTGATGTTAATTTCAAACAATTGTGTACTCTGAACCCAAATATTTCTTGTATGATTTTACTTGTGACGCGCCGTTGCATTCTCTGCAATGTCTAGTTGTAGTGGGGTGTTCTGGAAAGGTTCAATGTGTGCAATGCGTGAAAAAAGTTTGTGGGGAACCACTCTAGCAATGGTTCCCAGCCAATGCCCTGCGATGCCCTAAGGTCTGTGCAGTTCACATAGCTCAGCTGCCACCCCAGGAAATAACTTCATAAACTAGTATAGTCTTAGGTTAGGCTTAAAGAGCTCCCAATAGAAACTGATAATTAAAAGGGCTTCCCAGGCCAGAATGGTTGGGAGCCACTGCTCTAGCTATTCTTCTTCTTCTTGGCCTTTCTCACTCCCAATGGAGCATAGGCCATCTACAATAATTTTCCATCTATCCCTGTCCTGGGCTATCTATGCTAGTTCAGCCCAACTTTTTTTCATTCTTTTCACCTCTACCTCTAATCCCCTCCTCCATGTGGCTCTTGGTCTTCCTCTTTTCTGGTGCCGTGAGGATTCCCATTCAGGGCCTGCCAAGTGACGTTTATGTTTGGCTTCATTAATGTGTGCCCTATTCATCTCCATTTTCTCTTTTGTATCTCCATTTCCACTGGAACACTTGATGTTCTCTCCCAAAGGACAGTGTTACAAAGTTTAACAGCCATACAGAAGAAGTGCCTTGACATTTGAGTTGAATATTGCTTCATTATTAATAATATGACTTACACACTTTTTCTCAAAAGAAGACTGCGGAATGCCAGTGTCTTTTTACTATTTTTGAATTGTCTGATAATTTTATTACAAACTTTATATGATAGTATTTTTATGATAAAAAAAAAAATCTTTCATCCTTTGCATAAAGTGCGGTGTCAGATAAATGTGCATAACTTGGAAAATTAAAGTGATGCTTTGAACTTAAACAGAGAAATGGGTTTAAAAAATAAAAAAAAAAGAATTTCTATGCACCTATTTCTCTGGGTGGGGTGCAGTAGGACAATATCTTGATAGAGATCCTTGGTCATCCAGTCTCTGTCCATGTTGGCAAGTGCAGTCAGTGCTTGCAAGGACAATGATGTATTGGTGCTCCCTGACCACTTCCGTAAAATAGTGACCCAACCTGCATCAACATTTTGACGTTAAAAATATTTTAATACTATGTATGAAAGAATGCACAGGAGTTTGGAAATATTTCAAATTTTTTTTTTTTTTAAATATTCAAGATATTTCTTCTCCCATGAAAAATAACCAACAATTTTTTTATGACTCAATAGAAAAATTTTGGTATTATATTATCTTATAACTTTTTCAACATTTACCACAAAATTTTTTGGGGCTAACCTGTGCGCACTATGAAGTCCACAAGTTCAGGGATACATGACAGATTGGTAAGAATAGAAGCAACATACATCTGAACCCAGGAGCTCTCGGGGAAATCTTCACAAAGGTGCTGCAGCACAGCAAGGCCATGATTGTAAATGAAACAGGGAGCATAGTCTGCACTCTGGTGAGGAGAGTGACAGGTTAAATTAGTTCATACAAATACATTCTAAGTAAACATGGAAATTTCTTTCCCATCTCTAGGTTTTTGTCACTGGAGACAGTGAACCTTTTGAAATGGAAGCATTGCATCAAAGACACACATCAATCACTTTAAAATAATGGAAACCTAAAGGTTTAAAAAAAAAAAAAAAATTTTTTAAAGCTGGATCACAATTTACTGGCTTATTTCGTTTAACTCCCAATATAGTATTCAAATGTTTATTTATTCAAGAATGAATTGCTTATATAAATGACGTGTAAATAGCAATGAGTCTTACAGATGTGTAGGCCAAAATTGTATCCAAACACATTCCAATTTCTTTTTCTTTTCGGCCTTCATCCTCAGGAAGAGGATAAATATGAGCTAAAATATCCATACCCATCGGGTCATTCTAGGGGTTAAAAAAACAAGAGATATGAACTGACTTGGAAAAAATCTATTTGAAGTATGTTAATAAATGATTAAACTTCTTAATTTATAGGAGAAAAAGACAATGTAAACATTTTTTTTAAAATGACCGTTAGTTAAAATAGAAGGCACATCAAGACATGAAAGAAAGAATGCCAAATGACAGAGGAGTAAAGAGGGTGCTCCACCAAAACCTCAGAGGAAAATGGCTCAAATATAGACCAAGGCTTAGATGGATGGATGATGTTAAAAAAAATCTATAGCAGCTGGGAATCCAAGCATAAAAAAGAAGAGCATCAGTTAGGTTTGAGTAGAAGGAAGTGGTGAGGCAGGCCAAAGCCCTACATGGGCTGTAGCCCCACAAGGATGGATAGATGGTCTGAGTGGAAGGACGTGGTCAGGCAGACCAAAGCCCTACATGGGATGGATGGACTTAAGACATGACTTAATTTTTATGCAAAAGTTTCTTAATGTGGCAGTTTAAATAGTTGAGGATAAATCATATATGTATTTTTTTATTTACATGATATCGAATTTCCTGATCCAGTGCCAAAAATCTGTAGTACATCAAACAAGAATTGGGAGATGGAGGAATTGGCAGCTGAAGCACCTGGCTTTTCAGTTCACTCAAGACATCATTCTTTCAAGAAAAGATATTTCAATATTTTAGTGTGTTATATATCTTTACATTTCTATAATTAATGTATCTGTAGGTGGGGGTAAATATGGGGAGGGGGGAATTAATTTCAATAAAATCTGATAACAGTTATGTATCAATACAAAATTTAAGCAAAGTAGTTAACATTTGATGTGTTTATTCAATGAAATATATAAAGGAAATTTTCTCAGTTTAAATTTAGTTATCCCTTCTTTATCCACGGGTTTCTTTAAGTACATTTAAATCAAGAAATGGAATTTTATAGTTTTGAAACCATCTAGCCGTTTATCCAAGCACAGCATGAGAATTGGCAGGTTTTTCTTATTAACTGCTGTTTAAATAGTATTATTTAACATTTCCAAAGTGAGTCTTTCCCTGTCACAATTGTTCAAATAATACAGTTGAATTTTTAAAGAGATTAAAGGGAAAAGTATGGGAGCACTTTGAATGGGCACTTAAAAATGTTTTCTCAGAACATGTCCAATGCCTAATTTAAAATGGCAGTTTCTTGGTGCACACAAAAATGTATTTAAATGCCTTTAATCTTATTTAGTATATCTTAAGACTGTAAATAAACATAGCTCTACCTTTAAGCGGTGAAGTTTTGGTGGTGGCAGGAAGTAATAGTCACTGGCTTGAGGATATCTGGCCAATGCAACAAGAGTGCGGGGGTCACAAGCTTGAGCTACAACTCTGTACTTGTAGTCTGTCCAAAAAATGCATTTGAAATGAACCCTTAAAAAAAGAGTCATGGGGAAATTTAAACTTGACAGAATGGGAAGAAGCCTTGATAGTCAAATTAAAAGTTGTCTCTTTTAAAATCTAATGTGATCGTTTTGAAATTAAAATGTATACATCTGGCCAGAGGCATCACTAGGGTTGGTGTCACCAGATCCAAGAAACTCAGGCTGTTATCCCCCTCCCCCCTTCTCCAACCTTTCTCAGAAGTGCACCATGTAAATTCTTAGCATAACTGCTGATGCTCTATTTTGTTAACTAAGTGCTAACACTGGAAAAAAGGCTCATGTCTCATTTTCAAATGACATAGTGATAATATAGCAATAGAAATTGTATAATAGTATTTGATATTTGACATGGCACACATAGTCAAAAAGATAGACTACGGATTAAAGACTTATTTTATTAAAAGTTTCATGGTTAGAACAACATAACTTTAAAAATGTGTCCTTAAAAATTTTGTTGTCCATAAAAATTGTGAAAATTTAGAATATTAGTCAGTAAATTGTATTTTTTGAGTTGGAAACCCTTGGTGTCATCCCCCTAGAGGATGTAACCCGGTGCGGCCCGCACCTTCCACACCTCTCTGGTGACGCCACTGTATCTGGCATGCTGATTCAAAAATAAAATTTTGTGTATATGCATTAAAGACAAAAATATTTAATAATTTTGTGTAAAAGATATATCATTTTATGTATGTTATCTATTTCTCACATAATATAAGTATAATGCAGAAAGATATTAAAGGTAACTGGTATTTTATTTGGTAAAGTATTCAACTACCTGGCCAGCTACTTTTACATGCCAATGATGCCACACCCATTTGCCTGATCCAAAAGTTACTTGATTTAGTGAGCTCCAAAAGTGTCCAAGGGTCATCACTTTTGGACTGTTCCCATGGAAACAACCAGTCTTGTCAAGAAAAATGAGAAACATAAACATATTGAAGCTCAATCACAAACACAACTCAAAAATTTTACAAGTTTAAAGCTAAGATAATTGTATAGGAACTGTTCTTTTATTCAAAAAGACCAACAATGCTTTCACAATTCTGAGAAGTATATAATAAAAAATAAAGATGCTAAAATAGTTAGCACTCTAATATTTTTCAATTAAAACAAACAGAAACTCACCCCAGAATTTTTTAACATTGAAAAGCTCAAAAACAAACACTTGTATTCTGCTACTTATTTCTGAAAGCAAATTCTACATATTTACACATGGAATTAAGAGATTTTAAAATATTTTTCATTTTGAATCTAAAAATCCCATAAAGCAAATGATAAATTAAATTAATAAGTACAAACTAGCAGCAATTGGTCTGTGCCATATTTACTAGCGATGGGTGCATAAACACAAAGTTTGATACTAAACTGTGGGATTAAATAAGGTATTAAAGCGTTCTATGGAATGAATTAAAATAATAGCGTTTCTTTTTTAAGTTACAGTAAAGGATTTATCAATAATTAAAAATATTTATGTTTATTTACAACCAGACATGAATTTATAACAATGCAATACTTTTGGTTATAAAAAATTTGCTCTAATGTGGGAAACAAACACCTTATGAAATACTTTCAATATTACATTTTATCAGATTGTTGCCATTAAAATTTGTCATTTCTAATGCTTGCTGTTTATCCTCTCCACAATGTTTGTTGAACCTTAGAAGAGAAGCCTTTGGGTGCCTTAAGACAGTTTGTGCTTTTGATAACTACAGTACATAAATTAATAAGTTAATGTGTTATCAAAAAAGTATTTTAAAAGAAAAGTGAAACATATAAGTCACCATTGTCAGGTGTCTCCATAGAATACAGTTGCCAATCATCCTGTCCAACAAACATGAAGTCTTCCTCTTTTTTAAATGGCACAGAGTCTTGTAAGTCCCTCTTTATTTCAATAGAACCCTTCCTCTGGAGCACTGTTGTTTTTCCATTGTTCAATACAAGAGCTATGCTTTAAAAATTGAAGAAATTTAAAATATGAAAACTGAGAATCGTTTTAAAGTATTTGCAATTATCCTTTAAACAGGAAATAAAGTGACTTCATGTCCTTAAACAATTCTTTGCGTGTTCATTTTTTTATACATTATCATAAAAGTTGTACTTAAAGTACCATGAAGCATGAATGTACTGGTGTAAAATGAAAGATTGATCTTGCAGCTGATTTCCAATAATAAGATCACACTTTAAATGTTAAGAAAGGTCATTTCAATAATAAAATTCCTGTTGCCATACCCCTCTTCCCTCCCTTTTATTTTTTTATGTAACAAGACAATGGAGCATGGAACTATTAACTTAGCAACAATAAACTTAAATTTATTTTATAAAATGATTTTAAAAGGAATTACAATTTCGCTCCATCTGTTCGATCCCATTTCTTTTTTAAAATCAAAGAAAAACTCAGTGTTAATTTTCTTTAAAATACTCACCCACTTCCTATAGCCGTCAAAGTAATAAATCCTAGAGATGTATGTAAATAATACATGTATGATTCAGTGCGTCACCAGTCATAGAAATAGTAAAAATTAAAAAAGTTCCTAATTTTTTTTTCTAAGAAATATATCATTAATGATGTTACTGAATTTTTAAAGCAATTATTGAAAATTTTTATTTAATTATTATTATAAAAAAAATGTTTATTCTCTTACGCTAAATTTTATAGCATATACAAGTGTTTTAATAGCCGTGTGTGTATTGAAAATAAACTTTACGTAATATTAAAGTTGAATGGGTTCAAAAATAGGATACATTTCAAAACTGGAAACTTTCTCTTTTTCTAGGGAGACTGAACTAATAGTAAATATTTAGAAAAAACATGAGACATCAACACTTTTAGAGCAGAAAACTATTCATAATTAAAAACAGGAGCTGCAAACAGTCACTTTTAACCCACGTCAAGTTCGTATATAACAGTTAAGCATGAGACCCGAACAATCATTATCCAACTAAGGACTCCTTTAATGGGCTGGAATAATAAACTTAAATGACTGGGCACTATTAACACAGCTTACAAAATTGGCATTGAAGAATACATTTAAAAAAAATTTATTGACTTAAACATTAAGATCCCTCTTTTATTTTGATCATGTCAATAAGACTGTGAGTAGTTTATTAATAAGCTTTATAATGTGAAAGCTTTCAAAGTTCATTAATTCTACTGAATTTTTGCATAGACTTAGGCCAAACAATGCATCTTGTTAACAAAACTCTGCCCCTATAGTTTCAAAATTGGAACATTCTTTAAATTATTAACTACTTTGCTTTAAAAGGAATAATTTAAAATGTTGCTAACTTAATATATTTTTTACCAACTAAATTAGAAATAATTAGTTTACTAAATAAATAAATAATTTATTAGATATCTTAATAGAATCTAAAATGCATGCATACCATATTTAAAGACCTGCTTCCTCGATGATAATTTACTGGGTGTAGTGGAAAAAGCAATGGAACCAAGAAATTGCTTTCTTCTGAATTGTAGTAGAAGTGGGCGTGGGCCTGTAAAGCTCCATCTTAGACAGCATTTCAATATCGGAAAGGTCGTCGAACCATGCATTACATGAAAGAACCTTCTTCACAATAGATTTTTTTTATCATGGATGGGCCTAAAAAGTAAGAACAATTGCCTGAGTAAAAGTTATAATAAGACAAGTACTGGAGAGGGACTATCCATACATTACATACAAACTCAAGGGGTTAGGGATATTTGTTTATTTCTAAGATTTTGCATATGGTGGGGGTCTCAGCAGATTGTGTATGTACATTTATGTACGATTTCTGAAAAAATTTTCCCAAAAATAGTCTATTTATATCTCTCTCTTTTAAAGCAAACTGCCACTAAAATCTGTGAAATCCATGATTTCTAGTTATATTCAAAAGTTAAAAAATGTCACACATAGTAGGCCTATAGTTAATATTATCTTATCATACTGTTGCTTTGTTTTTTCACAAGTGAATTTGCTGGATACCTTAAAAAGTAACAAATAAATATAGCCTAATGACAACTTTAAGTCCAACCTATGACTATGCTTTTGTATAGATTTGTGCATGTGCTGTAATTTGTGATGTAATTATTCTGTTCGCCTGAACCAAAGAATGTATTCCAGTTTGATAAGCCAACTATGCCAAACAGCAGAGTATATAACATAACATAACATATCTGTGACATAACATTTAGACAGGTTACTTTGTGGTGCCTTTGTTTAATTGCTGTGACATGAATGACATGATGTAAGAATTGTCTATAAATTATTTGAAATGGGTTTTGTTTTGGAGCTATGAGGCTGGGGAGTTAGGTGACACTTCTCCTTTTTATGTATAAATGGGGAGGTCTTAAATTGTACAAGTGCAACAGGAGTGGGGAAGGGTTACGAAAATGTGACTTTTTTTTATTTTGAGTATGTATTAAATTGTTTTTTGAAATTTCTTCCCAATTCCATTAGACATTAATTTGGACATTTTTTTAATGTAATAGATCCACCGTAAAATTCTATGGAGGAAATTTGTTTGTATTAACTAGGAAAGACTTTAACCTTAAGTAACGATAATGATAGCCTAGACTTGTTTGACTGTTTGAAACCTGTGACTGTGTCGTTTTCATTGCACGATAAATAAACAAAGGGCACGCAATGCCCATTTTTCAATTAGTTACATCAGAGTAACATTCCATAGCGGAAGTTGGTAACAACACGTCAACGAGTAGTAAATTCAGCTGGTTGTGATCAGTTTTATCCTATTTTATAATATGTAAACATATGTTACAACTTTAAAATTAAAAGAAACATGAGCTCTACATTTATAATTCTAGGTAAAGTATTGGGGTAATCCCTTGTTTTAGTGCGTTTTATTATTTCTTGAAAAATAAATTTTAAAATTAATTTTTGCTTTATGTCTATGATGACAATGTTGAAGAATAGATTTATTAAGGCAAGGTAGGTTAGTTTAAGTTTAATAAAATGGTATACCTAGTTTAGGGATACAGATCATTTAGGACATAAGGTCGCGGTCACCAAGGTAAAAAAAAAAGAGGTGCTATCTCTTCACATGTACCAAAGTAGGTACTTTGATTAGAAAATTATAAAACTTTTTGTAAAAATAAACCAATGACCAATGGCATAGTTGAATAGAGCTAATTTTGAAAGAATTATAACACCAAAATCATATTTTTATCTGTTTCAGTTTTAAAGTTATGAATTTTTAAAGTACAACCTCATTTGTCCATTTTTAACATGTGCCGCTTCTCCACATTCTGTGACCCAATTCCGCTGTTCGCGTCACATGCTATATAACTCTCTTTTCAATTATAATTTTTTTACGACTTTTATTTTTAGAATTAATGCTGTATTAAAAAAATAATTTTATTAATGTTATACAATTAGAGTATAGATAAATTGTAGCTTATCTAACAGTGGACTATGTATATCAGTAGGCACTTCACTAAGCTGCGCGCGCCGGTCGATTTTTCGGATGCGAGAAACAGACCATTAACCGGCGACCGGTCAATGCCGGTAGGTCACAGGGTCATGTTTAGATTTCGTTTCTTTGTCTATGTAAGGGAGAGACAATGAACTTCCTATAGTCTATTTTGTGCCCACGAGGAGGACGATCATTACAAAATAAACTTTTTCACCGGACTGACAGGGCTTGTGGCAGATATCTTTCGTTGGGAAAACAGGTAATTTTGCTAGCGCTATATTTCGGAAACCATTATCGTATTGCAATTAATTCCTTTTGTATTGAATGTTAAAGTGATTTAACTAATTGAAACAAGAAACATATTGACATTTAGATAGGCCGTAAATTGTATAAACAGGGCGTTCGGGCGTAAATTTGAGCAATAGCTCCTGACCAGTTATCGATAAGGCCAAATGCACCGGAAGTGATAACCATTCTCTGTTATTATTATTCTTATTGCATAAGAAGTATTTACAAATCTTTATAAATCTATTGTTTTTAAAAGCAATCCAGTTCATTTTTATTATTAAACTCGTTTTTATTTCATGAATGAAAACAAAT